GCTGGGGAAGGGGCTGGAGCACAAGTGTGAGCAGGAGCAGCTGAGGGAGCTGGGGGTTCAGCCTGGAGACAAGGAGCTGAGGGGAGACCTGCTGGCTCTGCAGCTGCTGAGAGGAGGTTGGAGCCAGGGGGGTCGGGCTCTGCTCCCCAGGAACAAGGGATGGGACCAGAGGAAATAGCCCCAAGGTGCCCAGAGGAGGTTTAGATTGGATATTAGGAGAAACTTCATCCCTGGAAGGGTCTCAAACCCTGGCCCAGGCTGCCCAGGGAGGGGGTGGAATCCCCAGCCCTGGAGGTGTTTCCAAGCCCTGTAGATGTGGTGCTGAGGGACACGGGTTGGTGCTGGGTAGGTGCTTGGACCTGACGATCCTAAAGTTCTTTTCCAGCCCAAACCAGTCTGTGATTCTAACTGGGCACACTGAAGGGCAGGACTGGTTGCACGGGAGAAGCCTGACTGGGAAACTGGGGATAGGACCAGGCCTGACCTGGCAGAGTTAGGGCTGGCTGTGTGGGGTGGGCAGGGCTGGGGGCACTGGGGGGCAGGACTGGGAACAGACTGGGAAGCAAGACTGGGAACAGACTGGGGAGCACAGGTATTGACATACAGGCCAGGGGGTCCTGGATTAGGGGACAGGAGTGCCAGAGCTCAACTGGAGGGGTGGGATGTAGCTGTTCAGGGACACCAGGGGGTCAGTGGAAGAGGCTCTTCCTGAAATCTTCCAGCAAATTTCCTTATAAACCAGCACTGGAATATAAGTGTTAAAGAAAGTCCTTCCCTCACCCTGGGACTTTCCTCCACGTGTGCACCTGCAGCCTCCTGGTGGACTTTGTCCCTCAGAGGTGACATTTCTGCTACCAGCCCCAGGCAGGAGCCCCTCTGGGATTTACAGCATTCCTTTGGGTTTCCTGGGCAGCCACATCCTGGGGGGGCTGTGTCTGTCTGTGTCTCTGTGTCTCTCTCTCAGTGACATGGTGCCCTGGGCTCTCTCAGCCCAGAAGCAACTCGAGAAGCAGCAAAGTGACTCTTTTATTTTCCCTGCAGTGCTCAAGAAACGCCTGGTGAAGCTGGTTGTCAACTTTCTCTTCTACTTCCGTACAGACGAAGCAGAGGTACAGAAGCTGCCTGGTTGTTTGTTTTCCTCCCTGTTTTTCTTCTTTCTCTGTGAAACTGCTTGTGTGGGCTTTGGAGGAGGGTGCAGGAACAGCCTGACAGGGCAGAGCACCCATGTTTCCTCTTCCACCTCCTCAGTGAAAACTCCTGGGGTTGAGGAGCAGCTCTGCTCTCTACACACACCCAGGTGCTTATCCTGGGAGCTTGGAACAAATCTTTTAAACATTGCCCCAAAACTGCCAGAGGTGGAGCCTGCAATGTGTGTTTGTAGCCAAACTATGAGGGGAAGCTTCTATTTTGTCCTCCTGGAAAAAGAATTAGTGTTGTTTCTTCTTTTTTTTTATGCCAGGATTTGTAGTTGTGCACTATGCTGGTTGTTACCAGGAACCTTTTGTGGCCAGACCCTGTTAATGGTGTTATTTTGGGCATATAGAAGCCTAGAAAAAAGAAAGAAATGAGGGATGGGACCTTTGGGTTGTGTTTCTGGCTGTCAGTTTGACTCAAACTAGGACACTGGCCCTGCCACTGGTGAGATGTGGTGACTTTTGATGGATCCCTTGTTAAAGTTCTCTTCTCAGAGAATAAATATAAAAGCAGCCTTTTGACTGGAAGGTGCTGTGTGTGGGAGCTGGTGCTGCAAGCAAAGGAGCTGGAAAGCTTCCAGTGACATCTTGAGACTCATTCCATCATAAATGTTCTTGAGGGGATCAAAAATAATCCAGCAGGCAGGTGGAAGGTGCTAATGGAAAACCACTGTGCCAGAAATAGGTGGCAAAGCAGGTTTTTCAGTACCATCCCAACTGCCTTATTTGTATTCTTGGATGAAATAGTTCACTTTTGGTTTGATTTTTTATTTATGGCTTGGATCACCCTTTGGTTCTTACCACTGAGCTGCTCCCAATCTCTTCCTGGGCTTCAGGACTTCCCACAGTGTGAGTTGTTTTGTGTGTCCTGTTAAATATTTCATCTCTCTTTGATTTGCTGAGCAAGGAAGTGAATTTATTCCCTGTCCTTTCATCACAGAAACAAATGCTAAAGCCCAGGCTGAGTCTTGAGCAAGTAGAAATGTTTTAACACCCAACTATTGTGTGCAAAATGGGTACAGGTAGGAGTGAAGCAGGTCAGCAGGAACAAAAAGGTTGATTAAAGAAGGTGGAACGTTCATGCAATTAGATTGAATTGCTCTTCAAGTAGCACCAGGTCATGGAACTTGTCTAAAAGGCAAACTCAGGCCCTGTCTCACTGGGGTGCAACGTGGGTGAAACCCTCTCTCTGGGTCTTTTCCAGCCCATTGGAGCTCTGCTGCTGGAGCACTGCAGGATCACCAAAGAGGAGGAGAATGTCTTCTCAATCAGTGAGTTACTTTTCAGCAAACTGTGCTGTGGAAAGGAAACATTTTACTGCTCAGTTCCTGCTTTTTCCAGCTGTTTCACTGGTAACACTGGGGTTAGTGGGGTTTGTGCTCCTCAGCCCTTCCCCTCACTGGGGTTTGTGCTTCTCAACCCTTCTCCTCATGGGCTTCATGCTTCTCAGCCCTTCTCCTCATGAAGCTCATGCTCCTCAACCTTTCTCTGCCTCACAGGGTTCATGCTCCTCAACCCTTCTCCTCCTCACTGGGATTTGTGCTCCTCAACCCTTCTCCTCATGGATTTCATGCTCCTCAGCCCATCTCTTCTTCATGGGGTTTGTGTTCCTCATGGAGCTCATGCTCCTCAGCCCTTCTCCTCCTCATGGGGTTCATACTCCTCAACCCTTCCCCTCATGGAGCTCATGCTTCTCAAGCCTTCTCCTCTTCATGGGGTTCGTGCAACTCAGCCCTTCTCAGGGGCTTTGTGTCCCTCATGGATTTCATGCTCCTCAACCCTTTTCCTCCTCATGGGTTCATGCACCTCAGCCCTTCTCCTCATGGGGTTTCTGTCCCTCATGGATTTCATGCACCTCAGCCCTTCTCCTCCTCATGGGGTTTGTGTTCCTCATGGATTTCATGCTCCTCAGCCCTTCTCCTCCTCATGGGGTTTGTGTTCCTCATGGATTTCATGCTCCTCAGCCCGAGGACGCTGTCCTGAGGACAGTGACACTTCACTGCTGGCTGAGCCAGTGGGTGATCTGCCCAGCAGCCCGTGCTGAAGGAGCAGTGACACCAGCCAGGCTGGGGCTCAGAGCTGGTGGCAGAGCCTCTCGGGGAGGGCCGGGCAGTGACCTGGGGCTGCTTCTCTGCTGCTGCATTTTTATCACCCCGAGGCAGCCCCAGATAAACCCGGCTCATCCGTCCGTCCTCCCGCTGGGCTGCCTGGCCTTGTGGTGATAGCCAGGGCTCCAGCTGGCTCCTGCTGGGCTGCCCTTTCTGAGCAGCCTTTCATCCAGCAGCTCCTCATTGTGCCAGAGGTATGTGGTGCAAATATTAACAGGATATTTCTCCAAGGCCATCCCTCTATCTTTTGGCCTGGCTGTCGGGCACAGCTGCTTTCCTCTGCAGAGCCTTGTCTCTTCTTCTAGCCAGGAGAGCTGGTGTTCCCACTGTCTCCAAAGGACCCTCAAATATCCCCAGCATTCTCATCTAAGCACCAGGCTGTGAAATTCTGGGGGTTTGGGGGTGTTGGGAGCCCTGGTGAAGGAGGAGGCCTGAGAACACCTCTGGCAGTTGGTGTGGGGCTGTAGCCTTGCCCAGCAGGGTTTGATGCAGCCTGACCCAGTTCTAAGCAGCAGCAGCAGCCTGGATCTCAGTGGGCTGTGTCCTAAAGAGCAGAGCTCTGGGGACAAGGTCATTAATTAGATGTCCTGATTCTGTCTTAGTAAAGAGCTGGAGTTGCACAGGGACTTGCTTTCTGCTTGTGCACTGTACCAGATTCCCAAAAGCCTCAAGCAAAGACAGGTCAGTGCCTTCTCCTAGTGCAGTTAACCCCTCTGATGGTTGCCCTCTGCCTAGATCAACATCTCTTCCTCAGGGCCATTTTCCACTTGGATTCACTGAATTCCTTCTGACCAGGAGGCTCAGGGACTTTCTGTCCCACATCTGGCCATGTTGCTCAGGTTTAGCTCCCAGCTGTTTGAGAAGCTGCTCTTTCCAAAGCTGGTGGCTGCTGGGAGGTGACAAAGGCTGCAGGCAGCTGCTGGGGACAGGCAAGAGCCACCCAGGGTGGGGAGAGGGTCAGAGCCTGGTTGACCAGCTTGTTCACACCTCATCTTCCTGGAATGGAGGCGCTAATTGTGGCCTGGCAGGGGCTGTTGCTGGGGAGGGAGCCAGGGGAGCACAGGCAGCTCTGCCAGGATCTCCCTTCAGCTTTTTCCTTCTCCCTGGCAGGTTTCATCGAGGAGCCAGAGAGGAAATACTGCTTTGAATGTGCCAGTGAGGAGCAGTGTCAGGAATGGGTCGAGGCCCTCAGGCGAGCCAGGTAGGCTGAGCCAGCCCTGCACCCTGTGCTCTGCACTGTTTGTTTTCTGGGATCAGTTTGTGGTGAACCCCGGGAGGAAAGAGGTTGTCTCCTCCCAAGGAAGCTTCCCTTCAGCTCTAAATAGCATCTGAAACTTCTCCACATCCTTTTCTGCTCAGTCTGCCATGGTCTGTTCCTGTCTTACAGCTACGAGTTCATGAGGAGGAGCTTGATCTTCTACCGGAATGAGATCCAGAAGATGACAGGGAAGGTGAGTCCCTTGAGGTTGGTTTGTCAGGTGGTGGCTGATAGGTTTGAGCTGGAGCAGGGGCTGGTGATCTCGGGTGTTGCCACCAGCTGTCCTGTGCAGGGCTGTTTGCTGCCCTGTGTATGAAAGAGATCCTACAGTGAGACAGCTCCTGAAGCTGTGGTCTCAGCAGCCAGACCTGAGTCTTCCTGTGCCACCAGCCTGTGTGGTGCTCAGCTCCAGCCCTCAGACCCTTCCAAGGGCAGAGTGGCCTGAGGTTTGCAGCCCCACAGGCCTGTCTGGCTTAGCCCAGGCTCCCCCTGGCTCTGGAGGAGCTCACAAGGCTGCCCTGGCCAAGTCAGAGCATCTGTGGGTTGAGGTGCTGCTCACTCCTCTGCCACCTCCAAGCATCCCTGCTCAGGGGGAGGGAAGTGGGTGCTGCCCACCCACACACTCCTGGGCCAGAGCAGATTGAGCACAACCCATGGCCCTGCTGATCCACCTGAGGGCTGCTCAACATTCCCCACCAGGAACAGCACCCAGGGGCTGGAGGGGGGCAAATCCAGGAGATGAGTGGACCAGCCTGGACTGCAGCCTGGTTGAGGGACAGTCCTGCTGGCCTCCCTGCCCTGCAGCTCACTGCTGCCCTCCCTGTGCTCTTGCTGCAGGACCCCCTGGAGCAGTTTGGGATCTCGGAGGAGGCCCGTTTCCAGCTGGGAACACGCAAGCAATAATCCCCTGGCCTGGGCTGAACTGGTTTCTGGCCCCATATTCACCTGGAGGGTTCCTCCCCCTGAGTCCCCACTCTGGGAACAACAGCAGCAGTTCCCCCCAGTGGTGACCAAGTGACTTTTTAATTTATTAGCCAAATAATTTTGTATTTTTATGTTTATTTTAAAGGAATTTGTGCACATTCCCACTTGTCCCAGTTGTGGGGGCAGCCAGTCTGCACTGCTCCCTGCAGCCTGTGCCCTCAGCAGACCTCCTGGGGCCAGCCCTGAGCCAGCTCTAACCCTCCTCATCCTCCCTGGCCCTCTCCTGCAGGGAGCTACTTGGGCTTTTCTGGTTCAGGATCTTCCTGCAAAGTCCCAGGAGCCACCAGGGTTGTTCATCCCGGTGCTGAGGGCACTTGCATGGCTGTGCTTGCAGAGTTAACCCTGTCCTGCCCTCCCTGGTTTGTTGTCAGGGACAACAGGTTCACTGCAAAGTCCTCTGGGGTTGCTGAGACTGGTTGCAGAGCTGGACTGAAGCCTTCTTAGCAGTGGGCAAGCTCAGCCACAGCTCCAGCTGACAGGGACATCCACACCCCCCTGTCAGGGCAGCAGTGGCTGCACAACCACTCACACCTGCTTCTTGGGGTTGGTTTCTTCTTTTCCCCTCCCTGGGCAGGTGGTGTTAATCCCTAGAGGTCTGAAACCCCCAGCCCAGCAGAGCATTTCCAAAAATGCACTGGAATGAAGCTGCAAAGCACAGGGGAGGGGAGGCAGGGCTGTTTGGTCACCCTGCCTCCCTCTGCAGTGCTGTGGGCTGGGCAGTTCCTCAGCTTCCCAGAGAGGAGTCAGATGGAGAGGATGGTGAAGATGGGATCTGCTCATCTTTGGTTGGATTTTTGGGCTTGAGGAGCTGCAGAAGGGTAAGCCCAGGGGGTGTGGGACAGCTGGGCATTAACACTTCATGCCCTCAGCTGTTCCTGCAGCTTTTCTGCCCTTTGTGAGTGGCCAAAAGGAAAGACCAGAAGATTGCCAAGGTCCCAGGGAGCTCCCAGGGAGCAAGGGCTGCCTTCCCTGTGGCTGAGATGGAGAGTTAAGGAACAATGTCTGTCCTGGAGGCTCTGCAGCTTCTGCCATCCCTCTGGCTGCACCAAGGAAAAACCACCCAGAGGCAGGGATGGAGGGGGACACAGCCCCCCAGCTGCACCCAGGGCTGCAGGAGATCTCTTTTCCTGACTCCCACAGCAGCTCCCCGGGAACTAGACTAGGAAAAACTCCAGGAAAGGCCCTTGGGAAGGTCCCAGGTAACACTGATGACAGAAGGAATTAAGACTCCCTGCTGGGAGGGCTGAGCAGCCTCTGCCCTCATCTGGGCTTGAAGGGAAGTTTTGGGTCTCTTTGGCTGGGAATTAATATCAAAACAAGAGCCCAGATTGCAGCTTTAGTGGTCTGGCCTCTTTACCTTATGCTGCTGGGTACCAGGAGTGTGGCAGGTGCCACTGATGCTTTATTTTTAACCTCAAAGCCAAGGCGTTTTGGGTTTTTTTTCCCTTTTCCCCTCTCCCTTCACTGCTTCCAGGTGCTCAGAAGTTACCAGAACAAGCAGAGGGGCAGCATGTCCTGCTGAGGACATGACAGGGTGGAAGCAGAAAACAGGGCAGATGGCAGCTCTGGTGGACACAACAATGAGGGATTAGAAGCAGGATCATCAGAGAGCTTGTGCTTTAGGGGATTAGTGTCCTCAGATGACTTTAAACTGCATTCCCATCCTCACAAACCTCCTGTGCTTCACCTCAGAGCAGGGCATGTTCCTGGTGGGAACACAGCAGCTTTACTGGCTGTGAAAAAGGAACTTGGCTGGTGGCTTGAGGGGGGGACACGGGGTCAGAGGGAGGTGTCCCTGGCCTGGCAGCAGAATGGTCAGAGCTGCTGCAGCCTGGGCTGAGCTGAGCCCACCTGGCTCCCCCCCTCCCAGCACCTCAGCTCTCCAGCTCCAGCCTTGGCTTTTCCAGCAGCCAACACTTCCCACAGCTCCTGCCACTCCTGGCAGAGGCAGAACAGCCAGACTCAGCTCCCCAAGGGCCTGTGAATTCTTCAATATGCAAAGTCAAACCTGCTACAACCAAAACCCAGGAGGGCTGCCAGCACGTGCTCATTCCCAGCAGACAGGAGCCTGGTGGCTCCCAGTCCTGCCAGTCACACTCTGTAGCTCCCAGTTTTCAGACAGGTGCCTTCCAGGAGCAGCACTAGTGCCCTTTTACCCTCCCATGGAGCAGAACTGACACCCTCCTCCTCCCCCTTCACTGTACATACTCTGGGCATTTTAGTTGGGTGTTACGGGGACTGGTTGGGTTAACCAGAGATAATCCAAACACTTACTTAACAGGCAACAATGACATCTCTGAACTGAATGTAAGACAAATGCTGTGAACAGTTTCCCAGGCCAGTGCCAGGACCAGTAACTTCAGTCCATGTCTAGAACAGCACTGGGACACTGGCTTAGGTTTCAGACTGAAAGAAGATGGTACTTTTAGACACTGAGATCTGTATCAACTGCTGGTGATTTATAGACAATTGCTCCTTTTTCACACTCTGGTCACTGTGCTTTTTTTGTATTTCAGGGGCCTGTTCCACCAAGCACTGGTACAGGCTCCCTGGGAGTGTTGCTGAAGTGACTGAAGCCATTTCTCTCTTGTATAGTGAACATTTCCAATAAAATCTTGTTTTAATCTCCGTGGCAGTCAGAGCTGTTGTGAAACCCCAGCCCTAGCTGGGAAGGGTGGCTGGAGTTGAGCTTAGGGTCCAGCACAGCCCTGGAGGGTCAGGGTGTCTCATGGGACCCCCCAGCAGCTCCACAGGTGGAGATGTCACAGCAGGGATGGAGGAGCAGGAGCTGCAGCAGAAGAGCTGGTGCCTTCAGTCCATGAGAAGGAGCAGGGTGGGTGAAGGGGAGGAGGCTGCTCCAGAGCCTCTGGGGGTGGCTCCACAGGGTGGGCTTTAGGGACCTTTTGCTTGAGTGACAAACACGTTCAGGAAGACAAGCTGGGTCAGTTCCTGCTGCTGCTGGTCCCAGCATGTGAAATCCACCCAGAGAGCTGGGCAGGTGGCCAGTGACACAGGATCTCCACCTGCTCCTGAAAATCCTGCAAGGAATGAGCTTAGAAAAAAAAAAAAATACACCCCCTGGCAGGTTCCAGTTTCATTTTACTGGTGGACAGGAAATCATGGAACCATAGAATGGTTTGGGTTTAAAGCTCATCCAGTCCCACTCCCTCCATGGGCAGGGACACCTCCCACCAGCCCAGGTTGCTCCAAGCCCCATCCAACCTGCCCTTCAACACTGCCAGGGATGGGGCAGCCACAGCTTCCCTGGGCAACCTGGGCCAGGCTCTCACCACCCTCACACTCCACAATTCCCTCCTCATGTCTCACCTCAATCTCCCTCTGCCACTTTTCATCCATCCCCCCTTGTCCTCTCCCTCCCTGCCCTTGTCCCAAGTCCCTCCCCAGCTTTCCTGGAGCCCCTTCAGGCCCTGGAAGCTGCTCTAAGGTCTCCCTGGAGCCTTCTCTTCTCCAGGCTGAACACCCCAACTCTCCCAGCCTGGCTCCAGAGCAGAGCTGCTCCAGCCCTCCCATCATCTCTGTGGCCTCCTCTGGCCTCTCTCCAACAGCTCCGTGTCCTTTTTAAGTTGGGGGCTGCAGAACTGGCCTCAGTTCTCCAGGTGGGGTCTCACAGGAGCAGAGCAGAGGGGACAATCCCCTCCCTAGACCTGCCACCTTCTTTTGCTGCAGCAAACATCACAGGTGGGTTTCTCATGTCACCAAAGCCCTGAGCCTTGAACTGTCCTGCCTGATCCAGGATGTGGGGCAAGAGAGGGGCCTGGTCCTGCCCTGACAAAGCTGCTCCAAACCATCTCATGATCATTTCCTCAGCAGGGTCAGGTCTGTCCCTGCCCTCCTGAAACAGTGAAACTCCACAACATCACGGTGTATTAAAATACTTACACTTTAATATAAAGACAAAACTTCAAAGCATTGTTTCAATTACAAATCCAGGGAAAGACACAAGAAATTAAGTGGAGGGAGGGGAGAGAAAAAATAAAATAAAATAAAGAAAACCAAACCTAACTCTTACATTGTGGAGAATTAGAAAGGCAGGGTGGAAATATATATATTATACATACATATATACACACCAGAAGAATCCACACTAGTTCTATGGGAGAATGAAAGGAATGACAGGACAACTTATTGGTGTAAAAAAAAAAGAAACCAAAAACAAACAATAATCCCAACAACAACAACCAAAAAAAAAAAAAAAGATAAATTAGGGGAAGTTTGAAATTTAAATAATTCATTGTAATAGGCTAAATTATATAAACTAATTCCTATTCACTAGGAAACATCCCATATCACTGTTCTAAGAAAATGGGGTTGTTTGTTTTTTTTAAAAAAAATCCATTGGAAAATGGATTTTTAGTAGTAGTTAAAAGTTTACTAATCAATTCCTGAGCAACAGCAACCTCATCATCTACTGCTTTCCCCATCCAAGTCCCCCTCAGCCAGGCCAGGCTCTCACTCCTAAAAAGTTTGAAGTAGAACAGAGACCTAAAAGAAGTTGGTTTGTAATTTGAAATTGATCGTTTCAAAAGATTCATAGGTTAAAAAAACAAAAAAGCCAAGCAGGATGGATCAAACCCATCCCAACTGTTCCTCATTCACTCCAGAAACGAGACCTTTCTAGAAAAAAGAACCATTTGACTGCACCAAAACAGCAACCAAATGTACCTTGAAAAAAAAAAACAAACCCAAAGGATCACATCAATTTGAGAACTTCAGGGTCAGCATCAAACTTGGAATTTTAAGATGTGATTTTCTATTTTTGGTTCAACTCTAGAAACCTCTGCAGAAGGAGAATCATAAATAGCAAAGCTACTGGGGAGGCATTTCCCAGTTCTTTTTTGTCCCGGGTTTAAACCCTGAAGTTCCCAATAACAGCATCTTTTTATTGCAATGTTCAGTCT